AGTTGCAAGAATTTACAGGATTTACCAGAAAGCGTTCCCGTACTCGGCTCTCTGGCTTCTTTTGCTTTGTGACAGTTTTACAGGTTTCAACCCAGAAAAGTTGGGGAACGCAACTAATAGCAAAGACAAATTTAAATTTGAACAAATCGTCGCCTGGCTTGATTCAAAGCGAACATTTGAAAGCGCACCTACATGTTGTGCCTGTAGTTGAGCGCGCAAAGATGCTGACTACAATAAGTTACGGCCGAAAGCGTCCAAGTTCAAATCTCACCATGCAGAACATATAATTTACAATTTTTATTTTCGTTTTTTTTTTACTTACGAAAAAGTATCTGTGAAGTGCACAACGAAAAAGAAACTGGTACTTTTACAGGCAACAAGTTACGCAGCGGGAGTCAGTTGTAACCTCCTAAGACAATTCCATGTTAAATGCGACAGTAGAAAGCAGGGACGTGAACCGGTTTTGAACCGAACCGGTTTTGAACAGGAAAACCGCTTTTTTCTATTTATTAACTGAACCATTAACCGAACCGAAGTTTTCCACAAATGTTTGATCCAAACCGAAAACCGAACCACTTTCTATAAAGGTTTAAAGGTTCGTTTCAACCAATTATCAATAGATAAATGTACCCACTTTTTTCTTTTTTTAAACATGGTAATACCTACCGTGTTTGTTTACAATGTGACAATATCAAATGTAAAGGCAACCCATCTCGTTTGACAGACACTTGACCCTTAACCTTGCGCGTTGTTGCACTTGACACTTAAACTTGCGCGTTATTTTTTGGTCTTCGAACTGTTGAACCGAACCGAAACCCCGGTTCAAAGACCAAAAAACCGCTTTGACGAACTACCGCGAGGTACCGGTATTCGACTCGCGAAAACTGGTGAATTCGCTAGTTCTGTACTAGTACTTTCCGCTGCAGGGTATGTACATTCATACGAGTACATACATACACATAAATATGTATATATGTTTGGACTTATGTATGGTTGTTTCATTTTGTTCACTCTTAGTTTTACTTACGGATTTATATTCATTCACAATTACTATAAGCTCTTTCTATATATTTCAGGTACTGAATAAATTTGACTATTTTTTCACGGGTGTCTTCACAATAGAACTGTTACTAAAATTGATTTCTTATGGCTTCGTATTGCACGACGGAGCCTTTTGCAGATCTGCATTCAATCTTCTTGATTTACTTGTAGTCTGCGTTTCTCTAATATCAATTCAGTCCAGGTAAGTCGTTTCGTGATTTTTTACGAGCAAATGTAAGTATACAATTAGATCATTTAATTTATTATATAATTTAATTGACAGTTAGTAAAAGATGCGGATTCAAAAATTTTAATATATTTTCTTTATTTTAGTTTTTTTTTGGATTTCTCTATAATAATGAATCACCATCTTTTGGGGCTTTGTATACTTTTTTCAGTCTTACAGAATAACGGCTAAATCAAAAAAAAATATTTCAGTATTTTTTTAAATTAGTCCTGTGTGAAGAAAATGGAATCAGTTGTTTTCCAAAAACATTTGTAAAATATTGCCGACTTAAAACAAACGGGGTTTCGACATAACTTCCTCGGGCTTAACTTCCATGGGTCCGTGACTTAAGTTTCATGGAAGGTGCGTTGAGCAATTACCATCATCGATGCTTTGTTGCTATATGGAAGTAAATTCAGACTTCGCTACGACAAATCTGCTTCAGAAATAAGTTCAATCATAATTTTGTATTAAGTGAGCCCTCTAACCGGTAAGAGTGCCTCAAGGCAAGGATCACAAAAATCACCTTTTTCATATGAAGATGTAATGTTTCATTACACAAGTGAGATCAACGCTCTTGATCATACTTTTGATGACATTTCTTTCTCAAATTAGAATGTAATCCGACGGGCCGTTTGCCCTCTGTAATCCGTTTTTTGCGAATAGATGGAGGAGAATATCGTGTTTTCGTATTAAAAAATTTCTGATTTTCAGCATCGAAAATTTTTATTTTGGAGACGTTTTTTTAACTCAAGAATTTTATTCCCGTAAAGTGTTAGCCATAAGCTTCACGATTTTATATCTACGGTGTTGAAAGTAGTTGGATTTTATGTTCTATAGCAAAAAACCTAAGTGTGCCTCAAGGCACTCTTGTCGTTCGGCGCGATGTTTTTTACGCGTCGCATTTTTCTATTGCGTTTTAGTTATAGTGCTTTTTGTGCCATCATTCCAGGCATGAGTTGCATTTGATTGATGCCACGCTCCGCTGTATCCTGTTCTGACACACATGCTGTGTGGGAAACCAAGAGCTGCTGGTTAGTCCTCGCACGCGAATAGGAGCCGGTGGCTGGTGGCCGTGTAGTCGGTTGACGCTGCATGGCTTGAGCAACAGGGTGCCGCAAAATCTGTGGTTCACTCCTTATGCGACCTAAGGCCTGAGCAGGTTCATATGTGAAGCCATCCGTTACAGGTGTTGCACCTAATCGATGTGGAGCTCGGATGAAGTCTCTGACAAACACAGCAAAAGTAGATTTCTTCTTCAAGGTTGGGCTGAATTCCCGCCCCGAGAAGAAGGATCCGGAGTAATACGACTGCAAGGTATTGTTTGATGTATGAAAACGATTGATGGGGTTAGCCGATCTAAATGCGGCAAGGTCGTCGAAATAGTAGAGGTCGCAAACAATCGATAGCACTATCGGCGCTCTCAATGGTTTCAGACTATCGTTTTAACTATCGATGGTTTCAGATAATCGGATTGATTATCGATAGTTTAAATAAAATGCAAAAGTGTCAAAGCAAAATTTTACAATGAACGCGAATTAATTTCACATTAGCTTTTGATATGGTTTATGCGAGGGCAGTGAATTATATAATCTTTTAATTAGTGGGCTGAGGAAAAGGTTATAAAATACGAACACCCGTTAGTGACTAAAATAGCAACCATCTTGGATTGGCGCAGTTAAAAGGATGGATTCCTGCTCAAGCTAAATCTGCCAGCAGCTGCCAAAATAGTACAGAATGAGATGAAGCAGATATGCGTAAAACATAGTGCTGCAGTTCAAGATTCTTCAGTTTTTTTTTCTATTTCATTGGTATGCTGGTTGAAAGTAGGAAACAATTGTCTGGTATAGATTAAATTATATAATTTCGTCAATATTATGAAAATATTAACATCACGAAAGGTGCAGACCCTCTTTCATTTTAGTAGGTATTAAATAGCTCTTGAGAACAGAATATAGATTTCGATAAACATAGTATTTTATAGCTCTGAGTCCCTAGAAAGAATACGCGCTGAAAATTTATGCATTCCATCAAGTTCGGTGGAGTCAGAGCGTACATATTTTCAGCAAAGCCGGAATAATTTCAACGGCACACAAAATAAAGTGGTGTGTGCTTTTAACCACCGGTATGTATTTCGACTCGCAGAATCGAAATCCGTTTAACTCGTACATAGGTTTGCCAACTGTACTATAATACTTATATAGTATTGTACTATCTTTCGGTCGGCGTACTATATACTGTTGAAAAAATATAATATGCAAAAATATTATATTTCTTCAGCTACAAATATAAATATATATCAGTAATTTGCAAGAAAAAATCTGTATCAAAATGGATGACCTTTACACTGAAATAACAATATTAAATGAAACATTCTTTAAAGTAAAAGGTCATAGTGAGGCAAAATTGCAACATATTTTTTAAAATACTGTGAATGAATTACCAAATTCACTTAAAATGATTTCATTTCTTTAAGACAAAGCGACTACCTCACTGATAAAAAATGAATTTTTGATTTGTGTACATTAATTGAAATTTTGATTGCAATAAAGCATATGATACTTTCATAGTTAGCAATGAATTGTTAAAAACTGCCAAGAGTGCAAAGATATGTATATTCTTAAAAAACAAATGCATAAGAAAGAAAAAAGGTGTATGTACACTAGGGCGGAGTAATTTAATTTCGAAAAAAGTGTGTGTTCGATTGTAAGCAAAAACGGTGAACAAACTATATACCAGGGGCGCACCCAGGAATATATTTTGGGAGGGGTTTTTACCTCTAAAGATATATCACCAGAAAATACTGAAAATTCGCTTTATGCAAATTTTACGTACAGTATGTAATAATTAAAATTAACTTTTTAAAGTTTCATAGATTGCACTTTATTTGCATAAAATTAAATATTCATTTTTTATTATTTCGAATACGGAAAAAATTAACTGAACATGTATTTTTATTATGTATGTATGTAGCTCATTTTGGTGGAACGAATTCGAAGTTGGCAAATTAAATCTTCGAATCCTTGTTAAGTTCATATCAGTGGTAAACTCTTTTAGGCTGTAAAGTGTAAAACACAACATTAATAGAGTATGCATTGCATATTTTTAGGACAATGTTTTCATTCTATCAAAATTTCTTAAATCAGTTTGCAGCTGTCAAGAAAAAAATTCTCGTTTATTTATTTCTTCTAGAAAATTTACAGCAAAAGCAAAGTGCTTGTTCAAGCAACAGAATAATAAACAAGTAATTTTTAGCAAAAAAAAAACGGCTTTAAAAAAAATATATATATATCTATATATTTCATGATCCAATGATCGGATCTAAACCAAATTAGTATGGGACCACCTCTGAGACACTACCTTTCCGTTGCAAAAAGAATTATCGAAATCGGTTGACGTGGTCCAAAGTTATGCGGTAACATACATAAAAAAAAAAAAGATTCCGACGAACTGATAACCTCCTCCTTTTTTGGAAGTCGGTTAAAAATATTTCTTGTGATTTTTCTTGAGAGCGGGATTCTAAGCTTTAAGGTATTTGCGGTTTTAGCTTTAGGGGGGGTTATGTGCTATATACCAAAAATGGCGATTGACCCTCCCAATTTCTAAAAGAAAAATCAGCGTATTATAATTTTTCTGAATGAAATTGGCTTTCCAATTACAAAATTTTGTGTTTTCTTCATACAATATACTCGTCGTTTAAAGTACAAAACCGCATATCGTTGTTCTGCTAAACCGCGTGACTGACATTTTCTGCCAAAAAGTGGATTTGCTCACCGCTCTTGGCTCAAACCTTATCCATTGGTCCTGAATATACTAGCCAGAAATGTGATTTCTGTATAAAAGAGAGAACAATTTTGAAACTAGAGTGTTTTTACTCTCTGTAAAATAACTTATGCAACCTCACATACGCGGTTTTGCATTATCTTGATACGCGTTTTTGTACTTTAAACGACGTACTGCTGCTCCGTTGGAAAATTGGAAGGGTCAAACTTCATTTTGCACTTTCTTTGAGAATTTTGAAAATTACTCCGCCCTAATGTATACTTAAAAGTGTTTTTACTTTTTCTAATAAATAAAATACTATATATATATATTTGAAGTGTACTATATTTTTTCAGAAGTTTTGAAAATGTTGGCAACCCCGCTCGTACACCCTCAAAGTCTCGAAAATTGCGAACTTTTTGCCATTTTTCGCAATTTACTCGAAATATTGAGGGTTTACGAGTCAAACGGACCTCAGATTCGAATTCAGCGTGTCGAAATTCATGTCGGTAGGTGACTCTGGTTAAATGCATAAACCATTTTTCTTGTGTACCGGTGTACCGACTGAATTTTGAAATTTATTTTGTATGTGTGTGCCGGTGCACTCAAAATTCAGGCGGTAGACCGTTTTGAGTGCACCGACACACACATGCAAAATAAATTTCAAAACTCAGTCGGTAGACCGGCACAAAAAAAGTGGTATATGCATTTAATCAGACTTAAATAATCTTTTAGTAAATGAACAAATATTCAATAAATAAAAAGGGTCTTAAGTTTACAATTTCAATGTCATTTAACTTTGCATCATATGAAATTAGACTTGCCAACATGGTAATACATACATATGTATACATACGTAGATTATGCAAACACACATATAATTCAAATGAAAACTATCGAACACTATCGAAAGTCTATCGATGGTTTGTAAAAAACTATCGCACACTATCGATGTTGCCGACTACCGAGAGTTTCAGACCTCTACGAAACAGTAGGCTTTTGTAGGGAAAACCCTGAGTCATTCCAGTATGTAGAACCGGCTTCTTCGGCCACGGTACATAATGATGCCACTGATTTCATATGCGGATTTGGCGAACAACGATCTCTGAGAGAAAAAGTGAGTTGAGTGGCGAAAAGACGCACATTTTATATTACACAAGAGGAGTGTACGTATTTTAACTGCGTCTGTCTATCACCACATGGTTGATTAAGCT